AGGAGGTGCATCATAAAGCACTAGCAAAGTTTATTCTGGAGCAGGATCTAAACCCTCAGCAAAGGGGGAACGAACCCTTTCCACATTAATTTGACAGAAATCCTTCTACCTTCATCACTGTTGTCTTTTTCTGTTGGTAATTTTGGTCACAGGCAGGCTTCTACTGGAGATGAACAAACTACGTGTTCTCCTAGGATAAACATCTTAGCTGCTGGTTTTCAGATCACGTTTATATTTATATGGACTGGAACTGTGCTGTTGCCAGACCAACCAAGTGGGAAAGTTGGCCTTGCTCCACATAAACAGCTCTGACTAAGCAAGCCACGCTAAATTTGGAAAAGAATTAGGGGAACTAATTTTTCAACTGCCTTGGAGTATTTTATCTCCAATTGCCCCATGTTATCATTTCATGGGAAGAGTTTCTATTACTCATGACTATTTCCATCATGTTTATTTTCAGATAGCATATTTTTATCTTCTGTAAACCAGAAGAGTTTAAAGATCTATCGATGAACAATGGATCAAGGAGTTGTCCGCTTCTCTTCCCACCCACAGGTAGTGTTGCAATTCCTGTTGAGTGGAGCGGTGCAAGGCCAGGTCCTCGTGTGGTACCACTCACAGTCTCATCAAAAAACCTTTTCTTCTAATTTTAATAGGGGTTAGTATTTTTAATGTGGAGATCCTTTGCAACAAGAAGTGCAAAGACTGGAATAAAGAGCCTGAAACATTTGCTCCTCGATTCATGTTTTGATTGATTTGTAAATACAGTCTGCACATAAAAATTACATTGATGTCATATTTCTCACTTATACATATTATGAATTGCATAGTTCCTTTCTCTTTGGTCATTGTACTTCAAGCTGATCTAAGATGTTGACAGTGAAGAATCACACTTCTGAGCCGGTTTAGCCGTAATTGAAAGACTTCGCCAAAATTACAGGTATTTCCTGCGATTGTCGAGCATTTTTTTGCAACACCAGAATTTTGTTCTTTGTCCCACTTCCTCTACAAATTTTTACTGCAGGATGCAGGCAGCAGTCAAGTGAAGTCCAGTGTCCCAGAGCCCTCTGTGACAGATTAAGAGGCCACTGCAAGCTGAAAAAGAAAAAGCTGCAGTGGAAACTAGGGGTAAACCCTGAGCAGGAAACTCCACCAGGGCTGGGGCCAACAACATCCTACTGCTGGCTGGGAGCAGAAGAAAAAAAATGCCATAAAGAAGGTTTTGGAAAAGCTTTGTCCTTATTTGAAGAATAAGTTTATGCCTCGCCCAAAGCAGGCTAGTTTTTAAAAGGCTGTCAGATGGGCAAGGATTTTCTGCTTCACCAGCACTGGTATCCTGCTGTTATACACAAGCACATCCTATAACGGGAAGGTCTCAGAAAATTTGGTCTCTTAAAACTGGTGAGTTGTAATACAGATTGTCACCTGATGCTTTCCCACAAGTAAATCTGTGAAAAACTTACATACTTGAAAACTTAACCCGGCCTCCTGACATCCCTCCAGTTTTGTGTAACGACTCTGTGAACGCGGCAGTCGGCCAAGCCATCTCCTCCGTGCACCCAGGCAGGGCTCGAAGGGGCAGCAGGTTTGTAAGCCAGTGGTGCTGTGTGATTGGAAAGGGGCAGGAATGGGGCAAAAGGCGCTTTCAGTTTAGTTGAAGGCAGTGATCCTCTTTGTGCTTAAGAAGGAGGAGGCTCCAGCTCACCTCTGAGCTGGTTACACGGGAGTAGCTGGAATGAAAGGTGGTGTCAATATTGTCCCTAAACTTGAGGGATGTGTCAAATTCTGTGCATCAAACTGAAAATAAAATTGCAGAAGCAGAGGAGCTTTTTCCTTTTGCATGCACATGCATGTAGCTACAGTTATGTAAATGTAATTATCAGGAACTTATGGAGTAATTAAATACTATGGCTATCCAAATTGATGAAGGTACCTCTAACAGCCTGGTAGTGTCCCACATTAGGAGCAGGTTGGAGCTGGACCTGAAGTAAGCACCTTATAAAATCTTTCGCCATTGCCCATCTCTGCAAACTCCTTAGCAAACTAGCTATTTTTCCATGGCAGTCTCACCCACACATATTTGGATATTTTAAATAGAAATAAGATAGCCAGAAGTGATAAGTCCTGGACCATAGCATCTCCTACACTAGAGCATCCCATCCACTTTCTCCTGTAAAATCCCATGTGCTTACTCTCATAATGTTCCACAGCTTTTCTCTTTCTTTAACCGTATTGAAAATTATATGAGATGAAAACAGGCATGAACATTCTGGGAACTGCACTGACATTTAAACCCTATTTTTTGTTGAGAAATGGCAATAAAGTCAGTAGTAATCCAGGAAGTTTTGCAATGTTACTTTAGAAGGACTATGCTTATGTGCTTGAAACAGCAAATCTGTCAAGACCTCTCTCTGATTTCATCATAGCTGCTGCAGACTCACAGCCCGTTGTGTAAAATACAGAAACATCATGAAAACTACCTTTTGGTGAATCGCTTTTGGTGGTAGTGCTGGTGGGCGGCTGGGAGGAGTTTGTCAATCTGGGAACATATTATAGGATGCAGGTGGTTCAGCTCTTCCAGGACTCAAGGTCACAGTGCTTCTTGCTGGTTCCCCAGTTTGGCCCTTCAGGAGTGCTGAATGCCAGTCCTGGTTTAGGAGTCCATGTGTATAAAGGCTTCAAGAAATCTCAGTTCGAGAACTTCAATTTTTTTGCCTTATACAGAAAATTTTATATTTTTTTCCCCAAGCAGAACAAAATAAAATGTTTAAAGCGTCAAAACTGCTTGAGGTGTGAAATTGCATTTCTCTGTTGTATGCTTCGAAAAAACTCTTTGTCATGGGCCTCCTTAATACAAGGAAGAAAGGGATTTCTCCAGAATCCAGGACTGTCAGGATGCTATCTAGATCATAGTCCAGGTTTTGGTTTCTGCATTGCTGCAGACTCTTTGAGTCACATATATGCACATGGCTTTAACTTTTAATTGCACTTCTGTCTGTAAAGCATTATTATCTCTTTGATAGGGTTAATAGTTAATTACTTGTAAATTGCTCTAAGTTTCTCAGAAATGAGACTGTCAGTGTGTTTATTGCTATTATTGCTACTGAGATCTTGATCATAGCAAGACAATACAAGATTAGTGTTTATTGCAGCGTGACTTGAGTATCTGTTTACATTAAAACAAAGAAGAGACTGCAGTGCCCAAGCCTAGAAAACATCCTTTGTAGGAGCTTTGAGTCAGCTTTAAAACCTTGCTGTGTGATACAATTGGCTAATATGCCTAAATGCTAGTCAATATCACTTGTCTAGATGTTTCTTTTAAAAACCTTATCAGCTCTTGAACACCCACAGCTCTGTGTCCCAGAGAGAGGCAGATAGCATCTTTTTTGAGATAAATGAATTTGGGGTGTGTTTTGCCCAGTCTTAGAAGGAAAAACAACATTCAAAACCCAAAGTTTTCCTGTATGAATTCCCTCTGTGCTTGGTTACCACAACAGCTGAATGAATCTCTGAGGGTTTCCTGATCCGTTGTGCAGCAAGTGACTTCTTGTACACTCTGGCAATGTTTTGGGTCACTGGTCATAACTGCCTTGGTTCTGCATTACAGTTCCTGTACCCACATATATTAAAAATGATTAAATTTCTATTTCTGCTTCAGGAAAAACAGAGGCTGTCATCAAAAACTTCAGCCCGCACTACAGACGCCAGTATGCGGTGGCTTTCTGCAAGCATGTGCAGGATGAGCTGGAGCAGCACCGGGATTCCCAGTCCCGGTTCCTGAAAACCAAGGTAGGAGGGCACGTAAGCCCTTCCCCGTCCTCAAGCTGCCGTACAGCTTTGCTCTCCTGCATGAAATGATTAATGTGTTAACTATTTAAATCACACATTTAGTACTTGTAATATATAAAAAACATGAGCTGGAAGTCTATCAGTCACTGACTAGGCTCAGTTTTCTTGTTTTTCCCAGTATTGAATGCTCTCAAGTAAAGTTAATACACGGTACAGATATGCAAAGCTTCTAAAAATCAAACCCAAAGTATTTTTAAAGTTATTTAAATGTTTCTATATATACAAGCACAGTACAGAATTGCTCTTTCAGCTTCTTGTATTGGATAGTTGAATACATAATAAATGTGTATCTAGGACATTTTACATGTGTACTTTCTTATATATAACCCAAGCGTACACAACAGATTTGCAAGTGCAGATGTTGGATTTGGTTCAGCTAGGTTTTAGGTGGAAAAGTTGCGTTTGGGTGCAGGTTTAAAGCTATTTTTGAAAATTCATCTTTGTTTTGATCTTGCGTTGTTGTCTTGTCGAAGCATAAGAACCATGACATGAGTTTCTGGTACAAAGCATGCATTTCACAGAACCACAGAATGGTAGGGGTTGGACGGGACCTCTGGAGATCATCTAGTTCAACCCCCCTGCTAAAGCAGGTTCACCTAGAGTGGGTTGCACAGGGTGGCGTCCAGGTGGGTTTTGAATATCTCCAGGGAAGGAGACTCCACAACCTCCCTGGGCAGCCTGTTCCAGTGCTCTGCCACCCTCAAAGTAAAGGTAGAGTTGGACATTTGGACAAAGCTAGTTGCTTTGTGCTGATTGCAAGGTTTTGCAAAAATCTTGGGACAGAGATCATACATTCAGGCCACAAATTTATGTAGGAAACTTAATTAACTCTTTCAGCCATGGCTACAGGGTTCCATAAAGAAGATGGCAATAATCCCCTCTGTGAAGTGAGCTATGGAGAGCTGTTTTTTATTAGAGGAGGGGAGACAAAAAGAGAGACAAAAGTCTTTTTATTAGAGGGAAATGCAGAAAACCAGCCTTCAATATCAAGAAGATACAAATCTAAATTTTTTGGCCACATTGGAAATTACAGGAAATGGGCACTGGAAATGCTCTTGACATGAGTAGGGTAAAGCAACAAAGTGGGATGCAAAAGGTGGGATAATAGAAGAGAGGTGTCTTTCGGAAAGAGGCATATCAGTTACAAGAGCACAGGTGCAAAAGCATTACAAAGAAATGGGAAATAATATACTATTTTATGATAAAACCCTTTGCTGCATCAATGAAATGTTTTTAGTACATAGTGGAAAATGGGAGATTATGAACTACAAATCATCTTGCATTCAGCATGCCAACTAAAATGTAAATAAGAATGTTTCTGTCTCAGAAATCTGGAAGTATTGTTGGAAGGCAGAGCTCTTCTGCTGCCTTCTCACCTCAGGTGACAAGAATTTGTTTATGTAGTATCTGCCCGAATCAGAAAGTTATTTATGACTCCAAATTGCATTTGAAGACTCAAAAGCCCTCGTAGGAGCCTGATGGAAATGTAGAAATAAAAGCTTCAAAATGGTCAGTAATCCAGAATCATTTAAAATCTCGAAAATTGTCATTGTAGCCCCCATTGGAAGCTGGGACAGTCTTATATGAAGCAGAGCTGATGCATTTTGCGGAGGATCTGAAGAAGTGGAAGGACAGATACGTTGTTATCAAAAATGACTACACTGTGGATTGCTTTGAGACTAAAGAGGTAAATGCTTCTTCCTCTTACATTCTTCTACACTCCCAAATAAACTGTAGCTGCTGCTACCTTTCTTTTAGCAATACTAGATGAAAAGTTGTCCTTGGTGAGGCAGCTCCAGCCTTGCAGAGTGGGCTGGAAGCTCCACGGGGATGGTTGAAGGTACAACTAAGCGCCTTGCATTGGCCATATACGTTTGCAAAAACTAGCAAATCATTTTAACAGCACTTTGAACTTTCCTTTGCCTACCACAGAATGCTTCTTATCTGTATGTCATTGCAATACGTCCCTGTGCTTCCCCAGTTGGATTTTAAGAAGCAGGTTTTGGGTGGCTTCAAGTTGACTACAGTGAAGCTTTTTCTTTGGCAGCTGCCATAGTCAAACTAGTCCTGGCTGACAAACAAATAGGGCTTACAAGAAAATCCCATCCTTTTACCTCCTGTTTTGTCCCTAACTCTTCACTGTGGCTGGTAAGCACTGAGAGGGTATTTTTAAATATGTTTTTTTACATTTAGCCAGGTTTTAGATTTGATACATCTAGGGAATATATCCAAAATTGAGTCTGACAAAAAAAAAATCCCTTTGGGGAATATCCCTGTGCATTAGCTTTGTCAGAGTTTATGTTTCTCCTTTCCTTAAATCTCGTTTGACTCCCTCTCTCTTGATTTTCCAGGCCTACCAAAAAGGAGCCAGCCCTAAATATCATGTTCTTCCTGCAGGAGGAAAAGTACTGACTTCAGAAGAAGATTACAATTTGCTGTCTGATAAACATTTTCCAGATCCTGTTGGTAAGCCCTGCTCAAAGCTGAGCTGCCAAACCTCAGGCTTTGTTCCTTATGCAGACCTCTTCTGGGCAGGTTTTCAGGCTAGACTTTAAAATGGGGCAACAGAAGATGCATGCAGGCCTTTTCCTAAGTCAAAGCACGGCTCCAAAGTGGACGCACACAGAAGATGCTATAAGCTAATGTTCAGAGAAATGCTGGCTCCCATTTTTTTCCAGCATCCCAGCACAAAGCCACTGGAAGCTGTGCAGAAGCAGGGCAGGAACCACACCACCATTGTTCCCAGGCTTTGTTAATATTCCTGGTTTATTTGTTTCCATTTTTAGATGCCAGCTGCCTGTGTTGACTCACAGTTGATAATAAGTCCCACAGAGAGGGCAGGAAGGTTGCTGCTGCTGAGTTTGTTGTTTCTGGGACAGGAACTGCTGTGGTCCTGCCTGCCCCCACTCCACAAAGATGGAGAAAATTCAGTCTTTAAGGGAGCAGATCTTGTGTTGCAGAGTCAGATTTGGAAAATGGGATGCCACATAAGGAAAGGGATAAAGGCAACGTGTAGACAAGGATTTTTTTTAACTTATGGCTGTTGTGAGATATTCCCCTTACATCCCTTTGCCAAGGTGTAGGGTGGTCAGAGGGTAGTATGGGGCAGCGGTGCCTGGAGATGTCCTCTGTGTGTCACCACAGCTCTGCAGGAGTTTGGGTTGAGCGATGTGGAGCAGCCCAAGGCCACTTGTGGGCTTCCCATGGCTTTCCCTTCACAAAGAGTCGCTCAGTTAGTCTTTTAAGGCCCTTCTTCCCTTCTGTGCAAGGCTGAAGACCCTCTGAGATGAACCTCTTGTGGCTGGGCTCTCAATGCATGGCACTGAGACAAGATTGGGTTTGATCATCTGTAAACTGTGTTGTATAGCATTCCTGGTGCACAGTGACTCAGGGCAGGTGGAAACTGGAGATACTTAATGCTTTCTTCGCTTCACCTTCAAGGGCTTGAAGTGACAGTTTGTAAGGCTGCCTTGCAGTTGTATTTGGAAACCCTGGAGGCACGGTTGTTCCTACACGGTTTAATGCAGTTCCTATATGGAAGACCATGTGCTCCTATATGGTCTCTATGGGGAAGAGACCAGAGCTGCCCACTAACTTACTTATTTGCCATGAAAACATTTTGCCTAGCAGATACAATCCAATGAAATAGTTTCTTTGAAATTTTACCAAAACTGTGTAGTTTATGGCTACCTTGAATACACAACAAGAGGACATCAAGTTGCTATGGTATAATGTAGACGTGGTTGGTGCCTGCTGAGTTTGCCCATGCTAGCTGTGTCCCCCTGCCCTCCATGCCAAATCACTTGGATCAAGAAGGAGACTTGATTTTTTCATGTCTCATGATTCCCTGCTAGCAAAGGTCTGTTCTCTCTGTCATAGCAGAGGAAAAGAGCCAAACTCCCCATGAAACCTGCAGATTTCAAATGGAGATGTGTTTTTCATGTAGGGTCAAGTGAGAAGGAAGTCTCTCAAGCCTTCGTTCAGCTGCCAAGGGAGTTCCCGGTTTACCTGTGGCAGCCCTTTGCCCGGCACAGCTACTACTGCTTCCCGGAGCCAGAAGCTCAGAGGCAGTTCAGTGCCATGCTGGAGGACTGTGTGAGACACTCAAACCACGGTGAGTGCAGAAAGGGCCTCTTCCTGTACGTCGTTCGCCCCGGTGAAGATTTAGATAGCTATTATAGTAAAAAAGCTGTAGAAAAATGCAAGTCACTTACGAAAGATGCTTGGCTTTCAGTACCTGGAGGAATGCATTAACATACCCCTTCTTGCTCTGCTGGGAGCAAAGGTAGGTGGGATTTGAGCTGCAGTGTAGTAAGCTTGGGTAGAAAATGTTAGAATTGCTTTGAAAGTGACATTCCCCTTTCTGTCAGCTCATCTAAATCCAGTATCATGGCACAAAATCATGAGATGTTTTTTAAATATGGCATGGCACACTCTCACCTGTGCTTGCAAGCTTGAACAATGCATTGTAGGTGTAGTAGACCAAGTTTGTACAAGGTGGAAGGAATGTAGTCTCCCAGTACATTTCAGTAATGTTATACATGTATCACCAATGGTCAAATATTTCATCTTTTCTGCAGGTGTTTAGGTGGCAGTTCAGCCCCAGCCATGTTTAAGCTTTGTAGCAGGAACATGGATGGTGTGTAAGACAGGGAATTGATTGTTTGAACAAGGATAAATTTTAAATCTCACTTTCTGGGTATGTTAGACTAGAAAACCTTAAAAACCCCCAAACTTGTGAATTGCTAGGAGCAACCTTGCTCCCATGAAACTGAAAGACCATTTATGAGTTGGACCCTTCAGAAAAAGAAATGCTTTCCTGTTTTTCAGATGACTTTTCTTTTTTTCCATCAAGCTGACCTGGTTTCCCCACTGGCGTCCCAGCTCTTCAATGCTTTTAGTGTGGCTTTAGAGTCTCATCTGCTCCTGCTGTCCTTGGTGGGAGATGGGAACACTCAGGAACTTCTCCAGCAATCTCAGCTACTTGGGCCTGAAGCCTGTGCTTGTAGACAAATTAATTGAGATGCAGGGTGTGAACAGTCGCTTCTACTTACAGAAGTGGCTCCCAGTGTATTTTTTTTAGCTGTCACTTTTGTCTCTTGGTCATCAGCTTCACCCCATTACCCTCAGACAGCTGTCTCACACTGTCCTTCCCAGATCCTTCTCAGCTGCCATCTCCTTTCCCTTGTCTCCACTACCAAAGGCATTTGTGATCTCCTTTAGGACTCCACTCCCATGATGAAAACACACATTACTGTAGTTCTAGGGAGTTTCCTAAGATGTGCAGTTATTTGTATGGTGCTCAGTGGTGGTTGGTGGCAGGTGCTTTCTTCACAGGGCACGCAGGATTCTCAGTCCTGATGTTAGTGAGCTGGTGTACACTCCCCTGACACTCAGTGGTCCCCCTCTCCAGCTCATTTCCAAGCCATGCTGAATGTGGTGAGACACAGCATGCCCTCTACCTCTGGCAGCCTCATACAAACCAGAGGAAGCAGCTCCAATTCAAATCTGTGTAGGTGTGGAGAGGCTGAGGGTTAAAATGCCCTGGCAGGCAAATACCCTGTCACAGGGACTATAAAGACTATTTCATGGCTAGATTAACATAGGTTAGAGGCATCAGTCTAGAAGGAACATGCCTTCACTTGGCACTTTCAAATAGCTTGAGTCTCAATAAATATTCTCTATAGAGCTGCTGGAGGAACTCAAATTCCCGTAGCATGCCTGAGGGCAAAGCCTGCCTCTGTGATCTTCAGTACTGATTAGCCTGGTTTTAGCTGCGGCGGTCATACAGTATGAAAGTGCTCTCAACTTTGGAAAGCCACCCCTTTGCTCCTCACCAAGGTTTGGTAAGGAGATGGAGATACAATCAAGTTTTCCTGGCTCTGTCAGTCCCCCATGACTTGAAGCCTGTTCATTAGGTTTGGGGTTTTTCATTTCTTTCTTCTGGATCAAGTGTAACAGGCTTGACAAAGCTTTTGGCAGCCTTTTTTTTTCTTAAAGTTCAGCACATCACTCTAGGGGGCAATTCTGAATTGGCAGAAGCTGGGAGCAGATGATCTAATAAGTCTTTTCCATCTCCAGTGCCTGCGAGTCTGTGTTTTATTATATTTCATACAGCTCAACTATTGCTCATTTATGCATCTGTTCCAGGATTTATCCCTCTTAGGTTTTCCTGTGGTCAAATTCTTGTCTGACAGAAGATGCTTAGTGACACTAGAGTGCCTTCATCAAGGCTTATCCTTTCTGTCACATTATTTCTGATTAGTAGATAAAGACAGTCTGGATTAAGACCTACTGTTACACTGGTAAAAGTGAACAAGTTTTTACAGCTAGGGAAACGGGAGCCCATATTTTCTGGATTTGTTGGAGTTATACTATCTAGAAACCTAGGTGCTGCAAGCGCAAAAATGATCACTGATGAGCACCCTGGTAACCTTAACTCTGCCCTTGCAGTGAACTTCTTCAGGGTTTTTTTCCAAGGACTTCATGTTGATTTATATTCATTCTCACATGACTGAAAGATGTTACTTTATTAATACTTTTTAAAGCCTTATTTGCAAACAATTCTGCCTACAAAAAACAGGTATCTGAACAATCCAGCAAAGTTACAGGCACATGCAGCAATACAAAGGGTAATAAGGCTCATGATATAAAAATTGGCTGTGCTTTTTTATTTTAAAAAAAATTGAAAAGAGAGAAGAAATGTGAAAAATCCTTTGAATTCGATTGTGGAATATAATTTAGTGGGATAAGGAGCACCAGCCAAGGCAGCACTTGCCCCACCTCTTCTAAAAAGTGCCGAGTTAACTTTTGCCAGGGCAGATTTGGCAAGGGCAGGAGAAAGACAGATGTAATGTCTGATCAGAATTTGCCTTTCTGTCTTTTCTATAATCTGCCACTACTGGAAAGGAATGTATCGCGCTGGGCTTTAGCCAAAAACTTGGAGGATTATTCAGTTGAAGTCTTGTTTTCTCCCAGGAAGCAGAATTAAATATGGTCTCTTGCTGAACAGAGAACTGGAGTGAATCAGCATGCGGTCTTGTGATGGGAGCCGCCCTGGCATTCAGCTATTTGTTCTCTTTAGAGTCCCTCTATTACAAACAACTGGTCCAGCCTGTGTTTCTGGGTTTTCTGGTCAGAACTCATGGTCAGGAGGATAATTACAAAAGCATTTGTATTTAGTGATCTCCGCTTGTAAAGATGCATGGATTCCCCCCGCCCTGCCCCAGTTTTCCTACTGTGTTTGTCCTTTATAATAATTGGTGAGGGTTTGCAGTTTGAGGGGACAAGGATATCCTTCATTATCTATGGAATATGTAGATCTTTTGCACCCTTCTTGAGTACAGTTCAAATAAAGCATATGTAAAACCTTTAAAATGAGCCTAAGCCAGTCAGGACCTGACTGGTCATGGCTTTAAAAATATTCTAGCACAACCGGACATATATGCTGAGATTCTCTGAATTACCCTTACTCTGAAAGTTGATTGACTGATTAATCTGCTTACAGAAATCATCCCAGTTCAGCAATTCATTTGCGCAGCTCCTGCTTTGCAAGTTGACTTTTGTGATGCCTCAGGATTTGGGGAGGGGATCAAATGCTTTTTGTGTTTTGGCCTGTGAGGTCATGTGATTAAGGGCTAATTAATGAGAACACAAGTGCCCAGGGAGCAGCAGAGGAACCCTGACAAACTGATGGGTGCAGAGGGGACCCCGACGCCGCTGCCCCAGCACTCAGAGGAGGGAGCTTAGCTCACAGTCCTGATGTGAAGCCCACCATGTAGGGTGGCTCCAGCAGCTCTCCCCAACCACCTCGCAGTCTGCAGGGCTGTTGTTGTGTGAG